TCTTGATAGAGTTGTGGTTTGGAGTGATCCATCTAACCCAATTTAGGGGTTTGTTGAGGTCTGGGTTGAGTGCCCCTGACATCACATTTGCCGTGAGGTGCTCAATGGCATGCTCTCTAGCTTTCCTAGCTAAAACTTGAGGGGAGGTTCTGGATTTGTTGAAGATCATGTTGTTCCTGTTTTTCCAGAGCAGTGGCAACAGCCAGAACGTGGTAGCCACTGTTTCCCCGGGGAATTCTCCAATCATTTGACTTTCTAGATGAAGATTTTCCCACTAATCCTCAAAATTACTATTACTGGTTGACAAGTAGTTTATAAACCTTTGGTCCACGAAACCCCAGGTTTGGATTGCTACTTGACAGTTTATAACAATATGGTCTTGATTGTCAATTTGACAACAAAAGGGACAACTTAAGTCTATGTTTAATCCCTAGTTTGCAAGATTTTGCTCTGTAGGCAACTTATTTAGAAGAAGCCAGGGAAACATTTTAATCTTTTCCATGCACCGTAGCTTTTGACATCCCCTTAGCAAACTGACCATATCAGGGCTTCAGGAAGGACCATTCCTTATTAAATTATATGCTGAGCTAATCGAAATACATCCACTTGTGCTTGGGCCTCAATACAGATCGTGAATGGGTATGGGGACAGGGGGTCACCTTGTCTAATCCCAAGGGAGGGTCTGAAGGCTTCTGATGGGGATCCATTTACTAATATTTGGTAGTTTACAGAAGTCACACATTCCATCACCCACCCCATCCACTTGTTATGGAATCCCTCTTTTTCTAATACTGCCTTGATGTAGTTCTATTCCAGTTTGTCATATGCTTTCTCCATATCGATTTTGTATGTAGCCTAGCCTGATCTACCTCTCTTTTTCCTCAGGGAGTGAAAAATTTCACGTTCCACTAGAATGTTATGGTTTATTTGCGCTCTTGAATCAAAAGACGATTGATATACAAATATTATTTTTGTTAGGACTGGCTTTAGCCTGTTAACCAGTATTTTAGCAATTATCTTCTATATCACATTACAGAGGCTTATAGGCCAGTAGTGCTTTGGAGTCTCAGGAATTCTCCTTTTCGGGATTAATGCCAGAAAGGTTCTATTGAGGTTTCTTGTCATTCTGCCCAAATGGAAGAAAGCTTTGATGGCATTGATTGTTGTGTCCTTCACAATTTCTCAGTATTTTTAAAGAAACTACCATTTAGGCCATCTGGGCCTGGTTCCTTGCAATCCTTCATTGAAGTTACTGACAAAATGATCCAAGTTACTGATAAAATTATCCACTCCTGCACTTGTGAGTCTTTCTTTAAAATTTTTAGAAATAATTTTTGTTTTTTATCTCATGGACATATCTCTAATTCCAATGATTTTATTTCTATTTATTCCAACCATGGCTAATGTGTGAAAATATAAGTTTCTGGATTTTTGAGCCCAAAATAGGTCCTCTTCTAGGAGTTTCTTTAATTGTTTCTGGTAAGCTTCGTCTTTCTTTGCTAGAATTGTATTCTGTGGGTCTTTTTCTCTATTCCTTTGACAATTGGCTATAATTTCCATGAGATTTTGCTTTTGGTCGGAGATGTTCCCGAAGACTTTTTTCCTCCACGTTTTTAATTCTCTTGCCAAAAGGCTTGCCTTTGGACATATTACTCGCCTCTTGAGCCTTGAGTTTCAATATTTCAAGCATCCTCTATGAATTTTTTTAAGTTGTTGTCTAGGGATCACATGTTTTCAAACTGGAAAGGCTTGAGGCCCCAATCAACCTTATCCTCAGTTACTAGAAGCAGAGGAGCATGGTCAGAACTTAGAAAGGGGTGGTTGGTCAGCTGGGATTGTGGATATCTTTGCTGCCAAATGTGATTTAAACCCCAATCTAGTTTTTCCAGGTGCAGCCCTTTTTTCCTTGCGAGTTTATATTTCCTTTTGCTTTTAGTTCAATGAGGCTGGACTCCATGATCATCTTCTTGAAATTGTTTGCCTGGGATTGGACAGGATTGCCATTAGTTTTATCTTCTTGGGTTCAAATAGAATTGCAATCCCCAATGAGGCACCATAGTCTATTTATATGGGTGCTGATATCCACAGTCCAATTCCAAACCATCGGTTGCTCCAACCTATTAGGGGGAGCATATACAAAGGTGATTTTCCATGGGACTGGTCAAACTTTTTTCAAAGACTAGCGAATGGATTGATCTTTCGTTTGAAAAAAACCGCATTTAAACTAATACTATTCTTCCACAATCACCATAATCCACCTGAAAAGCCTGGTGTGTTTATAATATATTTTTTATCAAAATTAAAGTTTTTCATGAGTTTCTCCACCCTATCGGGATTGATTCGAGTTTCCATAAGGCAAACTATGTCAGGCTGATAAAGTTTCAAAGAACAAAAAGTTGCCAACGTCGCTTTGTGCTTCCAATTCCTCTAATCTTCCTAGTCAAAATTCGCACCATTGTTCACTTTATTTCTCTTTGCCCAGTTGTTGGCATCACCAGTTTCTCCTTCCATGCTCCTTTTATCCAGCAATGGAGCTTTAGGCATGGCTTCCCTCCTTAGCCATTTGTGGGTTGCTTTGATCCTCTTGGATCTCCCACTGTCTGTCCATCTCTTCCTCCTCATCGATCAGATCCTCATCTTCCTCAATATTGGCTCCCTTCTCAGAATTTTGAATTGCCTCATCCTTCTGATGGCTGGCTCTTTCATTCCCTTCTTTTCCCTTAGCAGACGCAGTTCCTTCATCATTATACCAGTTTTTGAGCACCCATTGCTTTGTGCTGGCTCATGGTTCTATATGAATTGCAGGAGTGTAGGACTCACCAACAGCCTTCTGGTTACCTGGGAAGGTGATAAACTTGTTTGCTGTTCTACCACCTTTATGGTTTGGGTTAACTAACCACTGATTTTTCCTCCTGTTCATGATTGTGTACCAAAAACGTCCTGGCATCCACTGTCTTGGCAAGTAGTGTCCTACTCAAGATTTCTTCTTGGGCTCTAGTACCGTCCAACCTTGGACCTGTTTGGCCTTTTCTTTTTTGGCAGTAGTAGTACATTGACCACGTCTTGTGACCCACAATGCCACAGGCCAGACAGAGGTTGTGTAAGTTTACATAGATAATTTTGTAAGCCCTGGCTTTGATCGGGACCTCCAGTTCCAGTTTTTGAGAAATGTCAACAGTGACAGACTCTTGGGAAGTGTGTTCGGTCTAGGGTGAGATTGTTCTTGTCCAATTTGACAACAGGGCCAACTTCAGCTAAAATGAGTTCCGGGTAATCACATTCCTAATATTAGTGCTTTCCCCAATTTAAGCTCCTGATGGGCAACAAACAACTTTGCACTTAGCTAGTCTTCATGGCTTAAATGTCCCAAGTATGGAACCAAGTTTGTACAATTACAATCTCTGAGGACTATCTATCAAAAAAAAAAAAAAATTACAATCTCTGAGACCCCATCAATGCCTGATCTCCCTGGATTTCCTAAGTGGCTTCTGTCAAAATTCAGTTTTATTTTATGATAGAGTGGAGCTGACTAGATTGCTCTTGTTGTGGAAGAATCTGGTATATGAGGCCATCTTCTTATAATATCTTCCAGTGGAAACATGACAAAACAAGGGTCTTTACTCAATGAACCACCCCCATCACTACAGTCTCCACTATAACTTATTTGCTATGGAATTCTTTCTTGGATATACAGAGCTCATTGTATTACTATTTGCATTAGCTCCCCTTTTCATAATAATAAGAATGGTGGTAATTGAAATGTGAATAGTTTCCCGACTGGTAAATCCCTTACAGTTAGTTATGTTCAGTTGCTTGTTAATATTTTTATTCTTTTTATTATTTCTTTTGTTTTATTGTTGTAATGAGGTTGGAAGAGGCACACTTGGTCCGATGGAGAAGGTAGATGAAAGATCCAAGGCATTAGAGTTCAATTCCTTCATTTATTAGGACTTTGAGGTTTTTCCTGTTCTGATACCACTGACAGAACTGGCATCAAAACAGGAAAAAAAAAAGAAATCTTGCAAGTATACAAGTCATTACTCTTGGTTACCTGCTTTCTATACAGTTACCCTCCTCGGGCTATTCAATTGTTAGTTCATCTGTCATGGACCTTGCAGATCTGGGAGTCCATGTGAATGATCTCTTCACAATGGATATTAAAGATTTGGCTTCTCTAATATGGTATTCTAGCAACTAAGGTCCATCAGCATTTGAGATCATCCACCCTGCTATCACCACTTGTGAGTTGCCTTCCACAAAGAGTCCATTAAATCAAAAGGTGGAACTAAGCTTTAATCCTTGTGGCATGCTAGAATTTCAGCCCTTGCACAGCCACCTTGGTCATTCAGCCCTGGGTAAACCAACAGAATTTGTTGCTTCTCTGAACACTCATCCCACACCTAACAATCCTAGGTTACTAATGGAATAGCTATCAGTTGAATTAGAAGCTACTGCTAGGAGGTGACTCCCATGCTTGAAACATTAAAGTCCTTTGTGGGGCATAACTTGCTACTGATTGCCAGCTTCTTGGCATAGAATCCATAAATACTCCTTTAAGTGTGCAATTTTGAAATGGTGGAGCTGTTTTCATTTTACTTTTGCTTTGGTTATGATTTAGCTGAGGTAGAGCTAAGGTCAAGTGGTTGCAACTAGCCCATAAATGCATTCTCATATAATGCAGTGTACTTGATCTTTCTTCCTGTGGGAAAAAGAAATAGAAATAAGGAAAATAGCGGTAGGAAGGGAATTGATAAAAGGTTCTATAATCCAGAGATCTAGTAGGAACCCAGAAAGGTGCAATGTCCGATATCAAATCCAAGAGGCTCTACACTGTTTCTGATGCAAGTCATTCTATTCCATTTGCGAGTTAATTCATGATTAAAATTTAAATTTTAAGGTAATAAAGACACAAAATGACAATAACATGCTGCAAAGGGTAATGGTCTCTCTGACACCAGAATACTTGGGAAGCTTTCTTTATACAATTAATAGGTTTGCAGCTTGGGCAGGTCTCAGGCAAATTGGTTGAATGCAAGTATTCGATGTATCAATGCAGTGAATGATGATAGAAGCTGGTCACGATGTCAAACTTTTGATGCTCATGCCGATGAAGATAAGAGAGCAAGATGAGAAGAGGAACTCTATTATGTCTATGTCTGCTCATTTTCGTTATAAAGTTTTCCGGTGAGAGGAGCTGGTTACAATCTAGTCATGCCGATTAATGGGAAAAGAGAGGGAATAGAAAAGAGGAAAAGCTAGGGTCTTCTTCCTTCTTTCTCTACAAGCAAAATTCCACCAAGCATCAATGCTTGACGGAGATCCAAAGTCCCAAACATCTCATCGCCTGACCATGTGATGAAGGGAAACTTCCTCATTTTTTCCTTATATTTTTTGTCTTTTCCTAAGTCCCAAATATCTCATTGCCTCACCGTTGTTGTTTGTGTAGGTCTACCATATCAGGTCGCCAGTTCCGCTCTTTAAAGTAACAAGGTTATATATAACATATATTAAAATATTTATAAAGGACTAAGCACCCCCACTTATCCTTGGTCCTTTTCTGTTATTTTTTTCTGTTGATGGTAGCTCATTTACCAACATATAACATGCCAATATCTCTGAAGTCTGAACATCCTAAGGAGGAATTCTATAATATAGGATGTGTTTCTAATTGTTTTTCCTTTTTTCATAATAAGAAACTAGTGTAAAGCCATAAGGCTATGTTTGGTTTGATAGAAAATAAGAGACATAAAGTTAGTGAAACTTCTCAAGTACTTTCAACAGTAACTTGCGAGGGAAGTTATTAAGGAAGGCATGGCAATTTAAAATAGTTGAACCATAAATTATCAGAAAGCAAAAGGGTATGAGATAAGAGGTTGCTTATGGAAGTGCTTACGAACACATTGACATATTAAATGGAACATATTTATGTCCAATTGCTCAATAAAAGACAGATGTTATGTATGAATTAAATAATAATATTTTTATATATTGTCTTCTGTGCAAAGATGAAATTTTCTACTTATCTTTTGAGACCCAAGATCCAGTTTCAGAATTTCTTGTGGTCCTTTCCTCAAAATAGGTACCAATTTTCAAGAGAAGAATTTCTGGCTAGATTAGGGTTTAGGGAGTTCAGTTATAGATAAAAGTTGATTGAGAATTAGTATCTAATAGCTCTATAATTAATACAAATTGAAGCCTTTTTTAAATAGTTAATAGATAATATAAGGTCATTTTGATGCCCAAGGTTTAAAATATTGATACGTTTGATATGTCGGTAGTGGCGTATCGAGTGTTTCGATAATTGCTTTTTTACTTTTTATTTATTTATTTTTCAAAACTGGTTTAGGGGAGCCGGTCTAGGACCCCTCCATCCCCTGAACCGGTCAGACCCTCGATACACCCACTGTAGGGGCATATCAGAAGGGTCTCGAAACGATACGTATCGGCCAATATGAGCCGATACATAACAATACTTTGAACCTTGTTCATGCCTAACATACATTATAGTTGAATTTCTTGAATTTTAGATAAGATATATCATAGTTAAGATAGAAATTGAAAATTAACAAAAGTAACAATATGATTAAAAATAAACGTAAATATTTATTGCAATTATGACATCATGGGTTTCTTTGAAAAGTTGGATCTTTGACCCACCATCTAGATAAGAAAATAGCATTGCTTTTGGATTAGTTTTAAATTAGGGAAAATTGTAGTCGGAGCTGGCTGTATATTTAAAGTTAGGCTACAAGTTGGTCCCTAAACCAACAAAACTCTAACAATCGGCTCTACATTTCAAATTATAAGCTTATACTAGAATTTCCCTTTAATGTTGGGTGATTGGAAAATAAAAACTAAAGTTTTTAGTTTCTCTCTCTCTCTCTCTTACTCATAGAGTCATAGTCATCTTTATTTACTTAATGGCTATGTGATTTGAAAATAAAATAAAATGGTTTTTGGTTTCTATATTTACGTTATCTCTCTCTCTCTCTCTCTCTCTCTCTCTCTCTCTCTCTCTTTGCTTGTTGTTCTCTATCAACCTCTCTCATTCTCTTTCTTGATCAATCTCTCAATTTCTATCGTTTTCCATCAATCTCTCTCATTCTCTCTCTCTACTCATCATTTTCTCAAAAAACGGTGCTGCTGATGTGAGTTGGAAGCACCGCTTTCTGAGAAAAGGGTTTCTTTTTTTGAGTAACAACTTTTTCTTTTGGTACCAATGCTCTAATTAACATTTTCAGCATTAGTACCCATTATCCAATGTCACATCACTGCCACCTTACATTTTTTGTTAGCAGCAATGAATTGCAGTTCTAGGAAACATGAAATTCGGCGTTGCTCCAAGCCATGCTTTCCCGATTTCCAAGGTGTGGCTTGGAGCACTATTTTTTATGGTAAAACAGTTCCAAACAAACGTTCGTTTCCTAGAGCACCATTTTTTCTGTGGCACTATGTTGTATCGTTTGCTGGAGCAATGGCAACTATGCCAAACAGACGCTATATGAACCTTTCTCATGCAAAATATTAAGTTGTACGTGAGACTTTAAGAACGTTCTCATGTGGCTTTTAACAGGGGCAGAGCCAAGAAATTGTCATAAGGGGGCCAAAACATATATGATGATGAGCCCATAGGGGGGAACCATTTCTGGTTGTGACATTTGATCTGGTAATAATGATAAAGTGAGAGTTATTAGGATCTGGGCTTTGTTACCATGAACAGGTAATAAATTCCCCAATCCCACCATCCCACCACACCTTGATAGAAGCTCTAGACTTGGCTAATGCAAGGTTCTTAAAATCAGATCGGACATAGAACCGTTCTGGGTCCAGTTCCCAGGTCAAACAGTTCGACCATTTAATGTTGGTTCATTCTGATAAAAAATAGAAAAAAAAAAGCTAAAAGCTATTGTCTGAGTCAACGGATCGATGATTTAAGCAGTTCCCATGCTTACGAAGGCATGGCAATTTAAAATAGTTGAACCATAAATTATCTGAAAGCGAAAGGGTATGAGATAAGAGGTTGTTTATGGAAGTGCTTACGAGCATATTGGCATATTAAATGCTCAATAAAAGACAAATGTTATGTATGAATTAAATAATAATATTATTATATATACTCTTCTGTGCAAAGATGAAATTTACTAATCTTTTGAGACCCAAGATCCAGTTTCAGAGTTTCTTGTTGTCCTTTTCCTCAAAATAGGTACCAATTTTTAAGAGAAGAATTCCTAGCTAGATTAGAGTTTAGGGAGTTCAGTTATGGATAAAAGTTGATTGAGAATTAGTATTTAATAGCTCTATAATTAATACAAATTGAAGCTTTTTTAAATAGTTTTTAGATAATATAAGGTCATTTTTATGCCTAACACATGTTAGAGATGAAAAAGACACCTCTCTATGGTGGATGACAAAGCTACCTGGTCTTATTTCTCTTTTTTTTAGTACATGTGATGTGGCTTTGACCCCATAAGGGTAGAGTTTTATATGCTGGATCCACCAAGTGGAGGCAGGGTACAAGTGGGGGCCAATGGCATTCATTATTCTTACACCTGTGAAATTCAATAAACGTTGACTTAGAGGCCCTATACACTTATCCGGGTAATTGCATTTTCCCATGTTCTTTTATTCAGGTAAATAAAATAATGACCATTCTAGCCATAAAAAATCCATGATCAAAAGTGGCATTTTTATCCCATCCAAGTGTTGATAACTTTCCCAATATGGGAAAGTTAATTTACCCACCTAGAAGATGGGCATCACTTACCCAAGTAAGTGATACCTAAGAAAATAAACTTTCACTAGTCCCTACATAAATTAGAAAAAAAGAACATGTGTTTCTTAGTCAATGGGATTGACCAACTTTCCTCCCTCCCAAAATCCCAAAAACGAATGTCCCCAAAATATTTTGACAAAATTTTTATATTTCAAATCTAAATGTTTTGTATCGCACTATACCAATCTATAACATTACCAAAAGTGTTGCGAGTTTCAAAATCTACCATCTCAAATACACCATAATGGGGTTTAATAAACTAGAACACGTCATACTTTTGTTCCACATGATCAAATGCCTCCTAAGTCTAGCATTTATAGTTAGTGTTGGAGTTAAAACCCCTTGTTAATTGTATGTAAATTAGTGTTGCGAGTTTCAAAATCTACCATCTCAAATACACCATAATGGGGTTTAATAAACTGGAACACATCATACTTTTGTTCCACATGACCAAATGCCTCCTAAGTCTAGCATTTATAGTTAGTGTTGGAGTTAAAACCCCTTGTTAATTGTATGTAAATTAATCATGAAATATGTAAAGATATAATAAATACTAGTGAGGGGCTCTCGTGCTAAGCACATGCCAGTGTAGTTGGGAGAGTAAAAAAAAAACAAGAATAATAAAAGTTGTGGTAGGGGGATTCAAATTCCGATCTCTATTGTGGTAGAGGCATTCACTCAAATGGCCACTCTATTCTTGCCCTGAAGTTCATTCAAGTTTGGTATGTCTTTGCAAGTGGACTAGGGAGTCTAAAAAAAACTATAGTAGTTACAAGAGGAATAATTTGCAACAAACTGTCTATAGATCATCTTTTCAATTAAAAGTATGTTATTTCTTGCATTTTATTTTCTTTATCTGTTAAGAAGAATTAAGATTGGACCTATAAACAATAAACAAGAACTAAGAAATGCCTTTGTCACATACTTGTCATATTGATAATTTCATTGAATTAAGGTTGGTCATCTACTGATGATCTTAGTCATGTCAACAATTGCATTGGTGGAAGCAAAAGATTGGTGTTTGGGTTATGGTTGAGCTGGCCCCAAGTGCCATGTGGCACCTCCGCGACTGCCTTATCACTCTGACCATGCCGGCACCACGTCATATGGATAAGTGCGACCAAGACAAGAGATCATCGTATGGATGAGGATAACTCTGTTGGGGATTAGGTTTTATCCTGAAGATTTCGGCGGACAACCTCATCCCGACAACCTCGGAAGCCTCATCCGACCAGGACACATATCTTCAACTATAAAAAGGTACCCCCACTCAAGGTAAGGGATCCAAACTTTTGATTTCCATATTGTTACTCTACTCGAACCAACACCATTCCCTAACTACTCGGTCCAACCACCCACTCTTCTCAACTGACTTGAGCGTCGGAGTGCCTACCCGGGGATATCTCCTCGGGCCTCTAACTTCATTCTTGGTTTTAGATCTTGGAGCATGGCTTCGTCCTTCGACCTCGGCTTTGCCCAGTTGGCAGGATCATCTGACTGTGACATCGGTTCAAGAGCTACCTTGGATTGAGCATCATTAATTGGAATATCTAATGTGTGGCAAAGCCATGAGCATAGCATGCCAGCTTCCACAATATTTTATTTTTAGTGTCTTAGGGGTCTTCAATCATGTTGGACAACTCGAGTTCTTCAATGGTTAGGTACATAACACCATGAAAAGTACATATAATGCATTTTCCTTGCTTACAATATTTGTAGGCAATTACTTGAGTTCTCTTGCTATTACATTAGTGACTTCAATTACTACACAAGGAGGAAGAGTAGGCTAGATACCTGCTATCTTGAATGATGAGAACCTTGATTATTTCATTTGGGTTCTAGCAGGATTAAACACTCTCAATTTTTTCAATCACCTTATCTAGGCAAAAAGATACAAACCTCAAAACATAGTTTTTTAAGGTTAAATTT